CCCACCCCGCCTCCATCCTGGCTGTTCCTGGCGCCCAGCTCGGCAGCCTTTCTCAAAGGGTGATTGTTTCCGGGCCGGGTTGTTGGGGGGCGGTTCTCTGGGACCTAGAAGCAGAGCTGAGGAGCGGGAGGGTGCGGCTCCCTCCTGGGCTCAGGGCTCAGGCACCCCGCAGCGGGAGATGGCTGGTGGGGCTCGGATGGTTCCTGCCTGGTTGCGGGGGTACCTGCGTGGGGTGGAGATGGGGGTGCACAGGCGCCGGCCTGAGCGGTAGCCCCACCTGTAGGCTCTGCTCCCTTGCCGAGGGCATGCCAGTCTGCTGAGTGCCAGCCTCAGCCCACTCCCACGGCGCCCTGGACATTCCAAAGCGAAGGCAGGGGGACAATGCGTGGGGCGGAGAGGAGCTGGAAGGGGACAATGGAGGAGCCGGGATGGAGCCAAAGGGCCCAGCGGGCGATCCGGGGATTTCTCAGGGGGCCTGTGTGTGCGGAGTGGGCTGGGGCTGCGTGACCAGTGAGTCTGTGTGTGCACATGTGTGTGCATGTAGGTATGTATGGGGTGCCGGGATGCAGGTGGCATGTACCCATGGCATGTACCCATCTCTGAAGATACTCCCAGATGCTCTTTCGTCAAGTTGCTGGAGACTTAGAAGCTACCCTCATCTATTTTTGGAGGGTTTGCACAGCTTGGCTGGTCGTCCCCCTGGACACCTGTAGTCAGGGACACCCCGTGTGCTCTTCACAGCCACAGAGAAGGCCAGCTCTTGCAGCTGGGTCCTGGCGCCGGCCGGCCTGGGGATGTTAGTGCTTTTCCGTAGCTGAAACTACCGCATGGGTCTGATGCTCCTTCCATTACCCGGTGACCAGCTCTAGGCCCAATGTGGGGCATTGCTGAATCAAAGCTGTGCCACCAGGCGATGGGCTCCGCGCGCTGTGGGCTGGTGCTGAGAATCACAGCACCCCTCCCCCATCGTCTTCTCTGCCCTGGTTGGTACCAAGCCAGGCCCTGCTCCTTCCAGTGAGGAGCTGAGTGTGTGGTGGGTGAAGCATGGGGTAGGGGTAGGGTCAGTAGCTTTAGAATCAGCGATTTTGGTAAAGACCATGAGGTAAGGAAGGAGCCCACCACCCACACCATCCTGATATTAGACAATGTAATTGGTAATTACTGCCCCTAGGGACAGTCGTCCTTCCCTCTCACCCCCTCTCCTGGCTCCTCTGTTTAATTACCCTCGTTGCGGGGAGGCAGTTCTTCCACACCGGACCTGAGCCTCCTGCGAAGGTGCAGGACCATTGCCTCGCCCTCTTAATGAAGCATGAACTACAGCAAGCCCTATCCTGCCTTTTCCTCCCCTATTGGGATAATTCTTGTTCCTTTAGACTCTGCTAAGAGAACTTGTTCTGAGACCGTGTTTTCCGTGCCTCCAAGCTCCGCTTCCCACTAGGACTCCACACCGACTGGAGGGAGGGGAAGGGCAGGTGCAGGAGCAGGAAGGGGGAGGGAACAGAGCACAGAGGGAGGACCTGGCCGTCAGTCTGCGTGGGGCACAGGCCGCCTCTCCAGCTGCATTCCGTCCTAGTCAGAAATCACCAAACGGTGGGGAGAGGTGACCTTGAAGAGTTTCTAGCTGCACCTAAAAGTTTCATTTTACAAACAGGGGATCTGTGGCCCACAGAGGAACCATCCGCAGTGTGTGGCGCACGTGTGTAAGAGTCTGAGAGGATCACACCCATAGCTCCATCAGTTCCCCCGACAGCACAGCGCAGGTGGCAAGCTCAGGGGGGAAGACAGTGAGGGGGCCTGGGTTCCCGTGAGACAAACAGAAGGGGTCGGAAGGCAGCAGTTATGGCCACCGCCTTGTGGGGACTGGTGTGTAAGCGCACACGCGTCTCTGCACGTGTACAGGTGGCCACAACCTGCTTTCCCTCACGACCACTCCCTTCAGTAGCATAAAACCAGGAGTTGGACCAGTCTCGCCCTGTGTGTGCTGGCAGGCTGTGGCCCGTTGGGCCTCTCCGCAGGTGTTCTCGGGTGCTCTCTCTTCAGCCTATGGGAGCCGACCAGATGGACAGGAAGGGTGGCCAGTTTAACCCTTACCATTCTTATAAGGACAAGAGTGATGATGAAACCCCTTTCTATTTATCTTCACACTCTGTGTACAACATTTTTTAATATTAATGTTTAGAGCCAACTTAAACCAATAATGTGGGATTAAAATGAGCATGATCGGGCTTAGTGAAGAGACGACAGCCTGCCATGAGTGTTAGTGCAAAGTTTGGGCAACGCCCCAAGCGTGTGAACACACGCAAGTACACAAACAGCTGTGTAGATACAAACATACACCCAGAGGCAGGTGCACATACAACACACACAATCGTACTCTCCCATGCCTTGCGCGCACGTTTGCATACCTATGCCCACCTGCACACATGCAGAGACGTGTGTGCACTTACACACCAGTCCCCACAAGGTGGTGGCCATAACTGCTGCCTTCCTACCCCTTCTGTTTGCCTTCCTGTTGGCTCTGCAGGTCTGTGGAAATCCTTTCCTTCTCTCTTCTGGATTTAGTGCATCCCGTGGCTTAGCCCCTGCTCTGAACATCCGTAATGGCCCTGGGTTTCCCTGAATGACTGATCTTCCCCTCCTCTCTCTTACCCTGCCAGAATTGAGCCCCTCTTCTCAGAGGCCCCCAAAGCCTAACACCAAATGTTTAGTATGCAAAGAATACTGTCCCCTGGGACAAGCCGTTGTGTGTTTATTGTGTAGTTAAGCGAGATGAGCGCCCTGCCCCCACTCTGCTCCTGGACCAGCTCCTACAGTCTGGTTCCCAGAAGGGTCCCATAAAACAACCCTCTGCAATGCAAAACCCACAAAACATCTGGGAGGGTCTGTAGGTTTTCCCAAATCACCTGTGTCCTAATTTAATATGAATAACGATTAGTTTACCCTCATCAGTTAATTGTTCCCTGTGGGTTCCCTCTGCTCTGCCTCTTCATCAGGAGCTTTGGTCTGCTTCTGATCTGTAATGATGCTTCCCTTCCTGACCAACCCTTCCTCCTCAGCTCACCACCCCAGAGAGGTGACTCAGAGGCAGCTGAGCTGCTCCCTGCCTGTCTGGGACCCGGTGCCTGTTGTAACTAATTGCTGGGGCCTGCATTTCTAGGGAGCCATCCCCCTGGAATGCACAGCAGTGCTTTTGCTGATATGAGAGTGTGAAGGTCCAAGGAGACCCCTCTCCCCATACACAACAGGAGGCCTCCGCTCTCACCAGAGAATGGTGGGAGTGAGAGGAAGGAGGGCAGGCAGGCCACGTTCCCCAGAGGGTGCCTGGAGGCTCACAGGACATTCTCCCACTGGGCTCTCACTGGGTGTGTGTGCTCACGCTGTTAGGAGTGGTTGTGCTCATGTCCCCTTCATTAGAAGGTCTCTGATCAGAGCTTTGGATCAAACATTCTTGTTTCTCCAGAACAAATTGGAAATGGTCCTTTGGTTACCAGGAGCCTCAGCTCTGCTCTGTCTTCCTTCGTCCCTACTCAGTGGGGCCAGACTTCTTTCTGAGCTGCAGCCAGAAGGCTGCCCCAGCCCCTCTCTAGTCTCTGCGTCCAGAGAAGGGCTCAGCTGCATTGCTTCCCACCGGGCAAGAGATATAATTTTTGTTTTGCTTTGTTTTCCTGTGGCTGAGAGAAGCGGGAGAGGTGATGGGAAGAGAGCCTTGTGATGTGGAAGAAGCACCTCTCTGAGGCAAGCTTGGGACTATTCTCTGCCCTCTTGGGGGAGTGAAAACAACCCAGATTGTTCCTTGACACCCCCCCATCCCTCCAGAGCCACTTACATCCCGCACCTGGGTCAATCTCAGAGCAAACCCATGGGGGCTCCCGAAGTTCCTTCTATACTCTACTCTGCCCTGCTGCCCTCTTCCTGCGGCCTTTCCTGATTCCCCAGCACCTTGGGAAATCATTGCTTTTCCTCTCAGTCCCGTCACATTTTCTCTGGATTTCTCTACAGGCTAGTATGCATGTGTGCGAGCTTTGTTCATTAACATTACAGCCTGCTGTCCACTCCTGTTGTATGAGCTCCTATATATGCCAGGTACTGTGCTGGGCCCCAGGGGTATAGCTGTAGTAATAGCAAGGACACACATAGCCATACATGACAGCAACTAGAAAAGTTAGCTTTGATTAAGCCCTTCGTGCTCTAAGTCTTCGCGTGTGTTAACTAATTTCATGACATAAGGGACT